GAGAGAGAGAGAGAGAGAGAGAGAGAGAGAGAGAGAGAGATGATTGTAGTTGCCCCCCCCCCCCCCCCCCAAAAAAAAAAAAAAAAAAAAAAAAGAAGTGTCAAAGTGTGAGCATAATCACATGCACGACCTCACTTGCCTTGGTGGCGCCCCCCTCTCCTATCTTCTCTCTAATTTATCCCAACGAAAGATCAGCACAGGGTCAGAAACCCACTAAATTAAATTAAAACAAGGCGACTCTCTCTCTCTCTCTCTCTCTCTCTCTCTCTCTCTCTCTCTCTCTCTCTCTCTCCACCCATCTATAGAAGCCATACTGAGCCAGCCAGCTCCCATCAACTCCTGCAAACAAAACATGCGACATGGAAAAGCAGTTAAAAAAAAAAAAAAAAAACTTTCCCAGAGGAAGTTTCCATCATCCACTGGAAGGTCTATAATCACTCCCCATCCCAATCCCTCAGGGCCTCACTCACAGCACGCTGAGCACGGCTCACCAACTGTGAAAAAAAAGAACAAGGCAATTGTATCTTTCCACCTTTTAGGTCCAGATGCGCTCCCCGCTTTACACACGCGGCTGTGAGCAGTGCGGGAAGGCGGTGGTGTGTAAGCAGTGGAGTCAGGTGCGCTCCCCATCTGACCTTACTCTCTGATCAGAGTCCCTTAATATTCAAAACCCCACCTCACTCCACTTCAGAACACTTTAAATCTATCTGGGGCTGACGGCAATGGTCCAGAGGCACTCAAAATGATGGATTTGCCCGAAAGTAACGGGTCTAAAGAATCATTGCAAAGCATTCTAAAGAATTTGTTCTATAGCAACGAGCCTAATTAATAATTATAGTAATTCCAATAAATAAATATTCATTTTTTATTTGGAAGGAATGTTGAAAATTCGTTGTTTGAGCACCAAAGTAGTACTTCCCTCCTGACGCATGATTGGGGCGGCCAGTCCAAACGCATCGGACGTTTGACGTTTGCCATTTGCCATTTGCAAAACAGAGCTCCAGTGCCATCCATCATGTCAGGGAGATGAAGCTTTTTTTTTTTTTTTTTTCCCCTGTTTGTTTGTATGTTTTGTCTGTTTGTTTCTGTCCTCTCATGTTCTAACTGAAAATTTTTTGCATTAAAATAATGCACCTTCCGCCCTTCGGGGCATACATTACATTAATTAAAATTTAAAGTGGAATGACTAGAACAAAAAAAAAAACAAAAGAAAATTGGAACGAGAAAGACGAGATTCACTAGCATGGCTTCCTTCATGACACTTACTACTCAAAAATCGAGAAATGGTCCGTATACCAACAAGCCAGCCTAGCTCAGTTGGTACACCCATAAAATGTTGAAAAGCAGATATTACGAGTTCGAACCCAGATGGAATTACTAGATGAAGAAAACTCTTGGATATCCTGGGGCCGGTCGGCTTTACGGTGATATATCACAAAACAGGTGGTTGCCCTGTTTTGAAAGAAAGAAAAAAAAAGGGGGAGGGAAAGAGGAGAGGAAAGGAATAAGGAAAGAACGGAGAAAAAAAAATTGTCCGTAATAATAATTAATTAATAATTATACTTCATCTGAATATGTCTCACCTGCACGCACAGCTTATCTTATTCAAGTCTGTGTTTATTACTTCTGCTATGAGACTCCTTAAGGCATGTCAGCAAAAGTCTATATGAGTGACACGTGTCATGTCATAGTCCATCTTCTCCGGAGTCTTGTTCACCGTCTCATCCCATCTCATCCCATCTCATCTCATCTCATCTCATCTCCACATTCCACGTGGTGGCAGTGTGGCACACGTCCCCCATGGTCGAGATCCTTTTTTTTTTTTTCCTTGATCTTCCTTGTCATCTCATCTCATCTCATCTCCACTCTCGTGAATCCGGAGGCAACTTCAAGGCTCCGCGCTCTTTAAGTCCTGGCTCGGTCGACGCAATTCTAGTATGATACACGCGATGATGATCCCTCCTCCTTTCGTGTTCTCTCTCCCTTTGATTAGAGGCGACATTGTGCTCTTTCCTTTGCAATAATTAATATTGTGTCTCTCAATCAAAATGCAGATAAACGTCCAGAAATATCGACCAGTGCAGGAGCGGCTACCATCTTCTCTTCCCCCAAACACAGCGCCCACTTGTAATGAATGCATGCATGCAAGCCAATTTTGTGGTTTGGTACTGTCATAATGAGGGTGCGTTGTATTCGGGGGAAAACTGCAGTACAATTAAAGGAAACCCATGATGATGACGATGATGGTGATGGCTATGATAATGACTGGGGCAGGAATGAACCGTCTGTTGAACCGTCATCAGGACTCTCTCTCTCTCTCTCTCTCTCTCTCTCTCTCTCTCTCTCTCTCTCTCTCTCTCTCTCTCTCTCTCTCTGTTTTTTTTTTTTTTCGGGGAAAGACTAGCCGCTAAATAGAACGAGCCTTGCTAGTTATGAAAAAAGCAAAGCTAGTATTGGAGAACTACAATGCCCCTTAAAAGAGCCCCAAAACCTGTGTCGATTTTTCCTCCTCTTCCTGCACCTCTTCCTCCTCCTTANTTGTGGTTTGGTACTGTCATAATGAGGGTGCGTTGTATTCGGGGGAAAACTGCAGTACAATTAAAGGAAACCCATGATGATGACGATGATGGTGAGGGCTATGATAATGACTGTGGCTGAATTGATGTGTCTGTTGAATCGTCATTCTGTCTCTCTCTCTCTCTCTCTCTCTCTCTCTCTCTCTCTCTCTCTCTCTCTCTCTCTCTCTCTCTCTCTCTCTGTTTTTTTTTTTTGGCGGGGGGTTACTTATACTCAATGAAAGGGACTATGCTTCATTTTGCAAAAAACAAAGCTAGTATTGGAGAACTACAATGCCCCTTAAAAGAGCCCCAAAACCTGTGTCGATTTTTCCTCCTCTTCCTGCACCTCTTCCTCCTCCTTACTCGAGCTATATTTCTTTGAGAAGAAAGAGATTCATCATAGAAGAAAAAAGACACGACAGAAATCGGTCTGTACCTCGGCAGAATCCACGGTCCCGTAGTGTGCAACCATAAGCTTTTCCCATAAAGGACAAAAAAACATAAAATCAAATCATTTACTAGCAGCAAGAATTTAGATGATCGAAACGTTGAAAAAATCCATACGTACTTATTACGCCGCAAAAACATCAGCATGTTGCGTGGAGGGGAAAACAAAAGGAAAAGAAGCGTGAGCAGATTTTGGCAGAGCCGCATCCTGAGGGACAATGAGGAGGCGATGATCAGATTGGGAGAGCTGATGGGGAAAGAGAGAACCAAAACCACAATACGAGTGAAATTGTGATGTTCAAGTCTTTAAAAACCCATTAATTTCGATATTTTTCCAAAAAGTTTTCAAAATAGAAAACTACTAGTATGTCAACCAGCCATACATTTTCTGTACTTACAGATCCCAATGGATCGATCTATTAAGTTGTTCTTCAACAAATTCTTCTCCAGATGAATCTCATCTAATAGTATGTAGATTCTGTTATTGATAAGATATACCCGAACAGGTTAGATGACCAACTTGTTTTTTTTCCCATCATTCGCATCCAAGGCTAGGTTCAGTGTTTGGATCGATTCTTCAATCAATCTGGGTTTGGGTCCTCCGATCCCGATCCGCACAGATCTAAGGACGATTCTGGATTATTAACGAACGAATTTGAAGGAACGGACTACAAATTTTAAATACTGAGTTCATTGTAAATTTCGTGACCAACTTTTCCAACATTGGCGAGCCACACTCGACAGGCTATGGTCCCCGGAATGAACGAGGTCCTCATTCCTCCGAAGAAGGATACACCCGACTCTGACCCGACTCTGAACCGAGACTCGTGTTCTCCGCCGAGGCCCTATCAAGGAGCTTGTAGAACGACTTAAGAAGACTTAGTATGGATTTTTGTACGACGCACTTACAAACTGGATTAAACACCAACGGGCCTGTCTCAGCAGCAGCTGGTACACCCGTGAACAATTGAAATTCACTCCTGAGCTCGAAATTCAATCCAAATGGGATTTAACTGAATGAAATCAAAATAATAAAATAATTAAAAAAAAAAAAAAACTAGATTGACCGATCTGGCTTCGGATCAGGATAAAAAAAGCCTACATTAACCGATCTGGTTTCGGATCAGGTTTCGGACCAGGCTTCTAAAAAAAACTAGGTTAACCGATCTGGCTTCGGATCAGCATTTGTCTATTTCTACGTCTTTTTTCAATCCCCTGAAATATCGTTTCCACTTTTGAAGGCTTAGGGTCACGAAGAGATCTGGGCAAGGTCCTGCACGCGTGGGAGTTCGACGCGCGCACAAGTGCACAAGAGAGAGAGAGAGAGAGAGAGAGAGAGAGAGAGAGAGAGAGAGAGAGAGAGAGAGAGAGAGAGAGAGAGAGATCCGTGTGGACCCACACGCGAGATGTTCCCACCAGGGTGATCAATCTTTTGTGTCATTTCCCCATCATGATGATATATGACTGTAAGTGAGTGAAGGACACACATTGATCCATCTAGTTCGACCCTGATCATTCCAATTCAGGT